GGGGGGGTCTGGGCTAAGTTTGGATTTGAATGCCTTATATTCTCCTGTTCGCAGACTTTGGAGTTCCTCCATCTCCTGGTCACTCAGCTAACGGCCAACATTTTCCTCATCGACTGGGAGAGGCCGAAGGACAAAAGTGCCCCCAATTCACAAGGTGCAGCGGGTAGGTGTGACACACAAGTGAGCCGCCTCCTGCGGATTCGCAGACGTGACCCCCTCTGTAATCACCGCGTGTTGCCTTCCAGGGAAGTCGAATGTCAGTATATGGAGGACGGTCCTGGTAGCCAACGAGTGGAATGAGATCCAAACCTGCCGGAAGCTGAGCCCGCTCTTCCAGCTCTTCATGGTTCTTCTACTTCTAGAGGTGATTTTTTTTTTTTTAAGTGTCTCTCTACCTGTAGAAAACAAAAATGTCAAAAATAATTCCAAATATTTCTTCATGAATGTATTTGGAGTGTTTTCTGGGCTGTTTTCTGTCAAATTTCCTGATAACCAGAAAGCGGTTTGTAATTAACGCTATGCTGACATCTCATCTCTTCTCAGGTTGTTGGTCTCAAAAACATCACAGCCAAAGACCTTAACTTGGACCTGAACCCTTCAGCTGGAACTTACCGGGCCCCCTGGAGCATCATCCTGAGATTCGGAATTGCGGCCTCCATGTGGCTGGCGGTTGGCCTGGTACAGGTGAGGTGAAAGGTGCACCGTGGGTAATACCCATAATCCCCCGCTGGCTGCCATTGTCCTGTTACCCCAAGGAGAACTATGGGGAAAAGCCCTGACCCCATACTTCTCCTTTAACACTGGTGGGTTGGGTCGATTCTTGTTGAGAAGGTACATAGATCTTGTATAATATTATAGGAGATTAGAGGGAGGCTCTCTAAGAATAACGCATATAAGATATTTATGTGTGAGGTGAATAAATTATAAAAAATACATTTTTGAATTTTAAATCATTCAAAAATCAACAATCCAAATATACAAATATTCTGACCAATGTAAACAAATATGATAAAAATGTATACAAATATAACAACTGTAAACAAACATTGTATCAAATGTATACAAATATCAAAACCATTATATACAAATATAGGAGAACATCAATCCATACTGAATAGCTCAGTTATTATAGAGCAGAATACGATACGCGAGGCTCAGTTCACAAAGCTTAAAGGAGAACTATGGGGTAAGTGTTTTTCCAGATAGTTCTCTTAGGGATCACAAGAGACGATATATACTAGCGTCCTCCCGTCACCCAAAGCTCAGTATATAGTGAGCTACAGCTCGCGGTATACTGAGACCGCCGCTATACTATAGTATTCCTCCCGTGACCCAAAGCTCGGTATATAGTGAGCTACAGCTCGCGGTATACTGAGACCGCCGCAGCTGGGGCGGAGCTCGACATTACTGTCGAGATCCACCCAGCTGCGTGAGTGACAGCTGGCTCTGCCTATCTAGAGCTATGCCCGCCCTCTCTCCCGTCCATTCCGCCAGTCAGCACTGGAGGATCGGAGAGGGGGGGAATCGCTCTCCTGGTGTGTCAGCTTTGTGAATGGAGACTGTCAATTCTGAGAGCTCGGGGAGATACAGAATATCTTATCGGCTGCCTGTGATCGCTACAAATATTATTTCATTTTCTTTTCCAGGTTCTCTTCGTCATCTTCATCTACGAACGCTTTGTTGAAGACAAAATTAAACAGTTTGCTGATCTCTGTTCTCTCAGCAATGTGAGTGTTTTCTATTCAATAAAACTTGTCCTTCAACATATAACTTATATCTGGAGGGCGGTGATGTCACTCCTGTATAATACATCTTCTATCTGGAGGGCGGTGATGTCACCCCCGTATAATATATCTTGTATCTGGAGAGCCGTGATGTCACTCCTGTAATATATCTTCTATCTGGGGGGGCGGTGATGTCACTCCTGTATAATACATCTTATATCTGGAGAGCCGTGATGTCACTCCTGTAATATATCTTCTATCTGGGGGGGCGGTGATGTCACTCCTGTATAATACATTTTGTATCAGGAGAGCGGTGATGTCACTCCTCTATAACATATCTTATATCTGGAGGGCGGTGATGTCACTCCTCTATAATATATCTTCTATCTGGAGGGCGGTGATGTCACTCCTCTATAATACATCTTATATCTGGAGAGCCGTGATGTCACTCCCGTAATATATCTTCTATCTGGAGGGCGGTGATGTCACTCCTCTATAATATATCTTGTATCTGGAGAGCGGTGATGTCACTCCTCTATAATATATCTTGTATCTGTAGAGCCATGATGTCACTCCTGTATAATACATCTTATATCTGGAGAGCCGTGATGTCACTCCCGTAATATATCTTCTATCTGGAGGGCGGTGAGGTCACTCCTCTATAATATATCTTCTATCTGGAGAGCCGTGATGTCACTCCTGTAATAGATACAGTTTTGCTTTGATATAAAGTCATTCCATTGTTGTATGTCTCTCTTGCTCCTCGTGTCGGATCTTCTCATATGTTGTTATTGTGGAGGTGAAAGTTCTGTGTTATGATGAGGAATGTTCTTGCAGGTTTCGGTTCTGGTTCTGACACACAAGTGTTATGGATATTACATACACGGCCGATCGGTACACGGACAAGCAGATGTCAGCATGGAGATGATGATGGACAATCTGAGGAAGGAGGAGGTGAGTGACAGATGATTGCCAGGATCTCCCC